AAGTAGACTAACTTGTTTGTATAAGATATAAGAGATATATATTTATTAATAATAGGTAATTAATACAATTAGGCAATTAATGACAATTAGACAATTAATAGGAATAATAATAATAATCATAGAATAATAATAATAATAATAATAATAATAATAATAATAATAATAATAATAATAATAATAATATAAGTAGGCAAATAGTAATAATAATAAATCCCAAATAATTCTTATTCAAACGGGGTATTACAGTCTATCCACCTTACAAAGAATTTCGTCCTCGGGATTCGAAAATAAAACTAGAAAGAAATAAAATACAAAGGGGAACTCAGAACATAAAGTTCGGATACTTCCACCGGATATCAGCCTCTCTCTCCCGAGTCGCCTCATCCTCGCCATGCCAGCCCATCGCACCTTTGACGAGACTAGCTGCCCGTTTCTCAGCTGATGAACCCTACGGTCCAAATCAGCCACCGATACCTCAACCTAGGAAAGGTCTCACTCGACCCGCAACTCGCGAAAGTCCACACCACATGCTTAGGGTCACACAAGCTCTCACGAAACATCACACGTGGGATACGTCGTGAACCCTACCAAAACTAGTGGTAAAGCCAACCGGTATGCTAGGTCACTGACTCGTTCGAGTATCACACATGGACCTACGAATCACGGCTGGAGTTTTCCCCTCTTCCTGAAACAAATCACACCCTACCTCGGTGCATCCTACAGGAACACAGGATCACCTACTTGATCCAGTACAGCGACGTTCTCAACATACGCCCATACAACTCCTCACAACGCATCAATCAACACACAAGACTCCAAGCAGTCTTCCAGTGTATTGACATCATGCTACAAACCTCCCCCATCAGGGGTCGACACATGGTATCAAGCTTCAGTACAGTGCCCGGGTCATGCTGAAAACCTGTCCACTAACACACTCATCATAGTCTCAACCTATGAAGCATCATAGTCTCCAATCGAGACTCGTGACACCGCTCGACAACACTGCGGAGTCACAAATTTGCCAATTTGAGATCATCTCACATATGGCATAGGATTCTAATCGACAAATCCCTCTTGTCGAAATATATTGATCTAGGGAAACCCCACAACGGTTCAGTGAATGTTGGATCTCTCGGTTCAAGGTTCAAAAGAAAGCTTCAATGTCAAAGATGTACCGTACACACTGTACTGGGGAGTTCGTGCGTTCGGTGATGGTGGCTGCAGCTCATGTGCGAGTCAACGATCGGCCCCGGCCGGTAGCCTCACGTCTCTCAGCACAGGCTTGCGTGCTCGACCACCACTTCGCGTGGCTACACCCAGACAGGGTCGGTGTTCGGGTCAAGGTGCAGTCAAAAAGTTCTCAATTCCATGGTTCAAAATCTCCAAGGTTTTCGGATAGATAAAATTTCCACAAGACGAAGTCTGGGGTTCCACAAAACAATTTATATTTTTTTTTCCTCTAGGATTTAGGCATTTAGCAAATCTCAAAAAAAAAAAAAATCAAGGCTACAAATCAAAACAAGGCAAGAAACCGAGTTCCAAGTTCACCACTCTTTTTCCCAATTCAGAACAATTAATCACACGGATATACACGATAGGAATATGAATAAAATTCCCAAGAGATCGAACATCGGCATCCCCAGCTAGGAATAATCATAACCTAGCGGTCATTGCCGAACAAATAAAATGATTAGCTCGTTTGACTCTTCCGACTAACAACATCACCCGTCACGTCAGCTATTACTCATATAGCCAATCATCAGCGGTCCTAAATGAGCCCAACTTGCTTATACTGCCTCTAGCTTCCTCACTTCGAGATCTCAGTGTGAAGCTTTTCTCGTAAGTGTTTTCAGTCAGCACTGTAATACCAAACAGTTAGGTCATGCGGATCACGTAGCCATGAAGAATAAAGGTGAAAACTCATTTTCGAAACATAACACTAGTTTGCAAAAATAGCACACGTGCAACATCATTAAATCAGGTATATCTTGCAGCACATAAATGGAATAAGCATGATTCTAGATACATATAAACCCTAAAATATGTAGCTACAAAACTTATGAAGAACTTGAAAACAAATAAGGTCATTTAACAAGAGATATATCAACAAACAATCATTATCGAGAAACAGTAAAAAATTGAGAACATGTCAGTGACCAGAATTTCAGTGCACACATTTACAACACCTCAGTAAATCATCAAAATCTTGAGCTACAAAATTCCAAATCATGCATGCTTAAACCTTACAGAAACTACACATGCAAGGCTAAAACTTTTATGTTGATCGATTTCACCTTTGACCACATTTGGTACACCAAAGCAGGACAAACAATTACACTTTAAAAACAGCTACGGTTTTATAAAAACAGGACATACTACCACTTTGTAAAAATCATAAAAAAATCCATATAAACTCCAAATGATATGATTACAAGACCAACATGAAGCGAAGGTGTAACGCTACAACTTTCATGAAGACATGTATGGCAAATAAGGGCATTTGATCATAGTTTATGCATCAAACATTTGAAATATGGTTGCAGTCCGAGAACATGATTATACACCTTACAGGGCCTCACTAAAATTGGATTATCTCATGCTTCAGACATGCTTTTGGCTTGATTCAAAAACTAACAGGAAACTAACACATAAAGCTACATATCTCATGAAGACCACATTTGCATATGAGCACATTCAGGCATCAAAAACAGATCAAACATTTTATACAACAAGCTGTTGGGATTTCAGAAAACTGTTTGCACAATCTTTTTGTGTAAAACCATATCTCCCTCAATTTAGATCGGAAAAATTTCAAAAATCGCTGAAAACACAAGAAACATGCTGTATTTCTCAAAAAGAATTCATCTCCAAAAACCACAGTCTTGGAAGCATATTGGTCATGATACAAAGGCACGAAAAACAATGAATTTGCATGCTAAACACATCGAGACTTAACCAAATTTAAATGATCATAAGCATATTAAACCAATCCACTAGGCATGAATATGAGTATATAATCCACATATATTCGTACCTTAACCCAACAGCGTGCCTCAAATTCACGGCACAGAATGTAACACCCCGAGTTTTAT